CCTTCTAAAACCGCCTATGCTGGCCAAAAGTAGCATTAAAAGACTCAGACTTGAGCCCGGGTGCCAAAGTACTCAGATTCCACATTTGGTACTTGGCAGCTGAGTTTCCTCCTGTTGTTATAACGATCGCTCCTATACGGGCTACGTTGCTGAGATAACCATTTAGCTTCTTGGAGCTCCTTTGCTCTTCGGTGGATTTTGCTGGAAGTTTCAGGGCTGATATTCAAGGATAACTTTCTTGGCTTCTGCCTTACTAGCAAACCGTGATTTCATCTCATCGTTTGCCTTTCTTCGGCCTCGGCCAGCTCCCGAGCCCATGGACCCGGCTGACGCGCTGCACAGTCACTATCATGTGGCAGAGCCGCTCTCCCCGTACGGCCCTTGGGTTTATGCTACAGGCGTTTTGTTTGTTCAGGCGTTTATCCTTTAGCCAAAGTGAGTCATGGTGGCTTTTTTTTTTTTTAAAAAACATGTACATGCATTTTAATAGACATTTTATACCATATAATTGCCTGTATGAATGCATAGTGTATTTATATACCTACATCACTTATTTTATAGAGAGAACCTCCTCTTTTTTCAGGAACAGACATGCAGAGGAACAGACAGAAGAGAAAACTACTGCAAAGTGTGGGTTGACGTTGGCAGGGGAGACCCGAGAAGGGCCAAAATGAGCCAGATTTTGCCTTCAAACCCAGCGTCCTGCCGCAGGAAGGAGGCAAAAAATCCTCCCTCCGCTGCTTCCCCGGGGAAACCAGACCCTCGCCAACCGCGGCAGCAGCCCAAAGGCAGGCAATAAGAGCATCTCTACAAACAGCATCTCTAGCTAAGCTGCCGTTGCTGCAGCCCGCGGCCCCAAAAGGCTTCCCGCCACCCGCAGCGACGTGCCCACCCGTGGGCACGCATCGCTGGAGGAGCGCCCCGGCACCGAGTGCCTTGGAGCCGTGCACCCGGCCGCCGAGCTGCTGGAGGTTGGTGCTTGCACGTGCTATTCCCTTTGGGTTGTGCTGCTCCCTTCCAAGGGGAAATATTCAGCACTTTCAGGATGAAAATTTTTCCCCCCCCCACAAGAGTCTCCGAAAGCAAAGGTGGGTGGGAACGCGAAGGCAGAGACGCTTCATTCCTGTTCCTTATCTGCTTTGGGGAACCGCAATCTCTAAAGAGAGTTTGCTGGGCTTCGCTCTGACCCATCAGATGCCTCTTTGTGGAAGCCAAGTCTCTCGCCGGGCCCAGTTCAAATACCGTCACGTTTTTGGGGATTTTGGACCAATTCCTAGTGCAAAATACTGCACAGCAGAGACCAGTGCAAAAGGAAAACTAGCCTGCGCTGCGGTGCCAGACGGGCAGCCCCGGAGAGCGCGGTCCCCGTCACACCGTCGTCTTGCAGGTGTGCACACCGCCGGTCTGCTCCGAAACCAGCCTGACCCGCACGCCCCAACCCACAGCTCCCTGCATCAGTCATCTGTATGCAGCGGAGCCCAGGTGAGCGATGCCAGCACTGGGCTGAGCCGATAGTACCCTGGAAGGCAAGCGCCTAGGCTCTTGGCGCTTTCGTGGCTGCAGCAGCCGGCTGCGCACAGCCTCCTGCTGAGCCCCCCTTGGGTGCATGAGGAGGCTTCAGTTTGGGTTCCCGCATTAAGCCTACCAAATCTGAACGGCTAAGCTCATGAACTTAGACTAGCAGAGCCTGTCCAAGACTCCGAGTGTCCTGACACGATCAGCTAAGCAATTAATCCTGGGTTGTCACAGCAATCGGCTCCAGGATCTCACTGCCAGCCACGTGTCGGCTTCGCCCCCGGGAAGGGACGCTCGCGCCCCCAGCGTCTTGCTCAAACCACCTCAGCTTGGCAGCACAACCAGACCGTCCCCTGTGCAGGAGGAGCTGAGATAGACCCTCAAGGTGTGACAGCACCCCAGCACGAGCTGAGCTGCCCCAACTGCTCCAGCCCACGCAGCTGCAAACACAAAGCTATGCGGGTCATGGACCAGCACCGCACGGAGATCCCTGCTGCAGCTCCTGCCCGCTGGGCACAAAGCAATGGGGCTGCACTGGAAACTGCGTGTTTCCGGGAGTTTGCACCCATGCCTGGCTGTGGACTTGAAGGTTCAAGTGAAACTGTGACATTTCCATCCAACACTAAAGCAGCTCTCTTGCCAGTAAAGCAACAGTCCCTCGGTTCAAGGGACTGTCATCGTGAGTAGTCCCCGTCAGCTCTGCCTATGCCTTGGGCAGGAGAAATAGCAGGAATTCACGTTATTTGTGCAAATCTGGAACTATTGACAGCAGTGTTTACTCCTGGCTTCCTTGCCTTTGGCCACAAGCAGTTGTGTTCTCAGGCTACCCAAAACTCCCCCCTCCCCCCCCAAAAAAAGCATTTTTCAGGGTAAATATCCATGTTCTCAAGCAAAGAAGGGGCAGAGGTTTCTCTTCTGCACCAGGAGTGAATGGCTCCTGGCTATTAAACGTGAGCTGCCCAAGCAGGGAACCGTCACGTAACTTGGGTCCATAGCCAGCAAGAACAGAAAGGATCCCAGGAGTCACCTAGTCCGTGTCACTGCCCAGGCAGCAACAGCTCCGCGGAAAGGTTTCCCGATGATGTTTGTGGACCTGCACATGGATGCACCCCGGTGAGGACATCCCCTGACACCCAGAAGCGGCCACGGTGCCTAGAAACCCCCTGGCTGAGAATCGCTCCCGGCGAGACGCCTGCATGCGCGGGCAGCGGTGAATCAGAGGGAGGATCTGCTGACAGCACCGTTCAGAGCAAACCGCCCAAAATGTCCCCGAAACCCCTAATTGCAGGGCATTTGGCTAGCGTGGTTATTCTTCTCCCCTGCTCAGTTTTAAATGCCTGAGTCACAGGGAAGTGGGGTAACAGTTTGTGTTGACTTAGCAGGTTCTCCCTGAGCCACGAGGGTTTTAGCGTTTCGCTTATCAGTTGGTAGCAAACTGAAGCAGCCGGCAGCACCCTAACTTCTGCACACATGCTTGTTCGCGCTGGCTTTCTGCGGGCTGCAAGCGGCTTTGTGCCGCATGTGAGCTCTTGAACTGAGGGACTGGCACAGGGACATGAGGGTTTGGACCTCCGAGGAGAAATCTTAAGGATGAGCCCCATAGGGTTGTCTCCTGCAGCTTGCACACAGCAAGGCCTAAAGCAAAGCAAGAGAGAGAGACCCGGCTGCCAAAAATCCCTGCTCAGGACCTGCCCTGCAATGGGGCCAAGGCGGCCACCCCTGCTCCCGGGAGCGCAGAGCTCGGGGCGGCCAGGAGCCGCGCAGGGAAAGGGTGCACGGCTGCCCTCCTTCCCACGAGACACAGGACCCCGCAGGAAAGCGCAGCATCATCCCACCATACAACCCTTCAGGAATACTGACCTCTGTCCCTGCTGGGCAGTGGAGGGAAACCACGACCAAGAACTGGGAACAGCAGTGCATGTTTAATTGCTAAAAAACTCACCAGGGTCATTGCCGAGAGCGCTAGATCCCTTATCACCTCCTTAGCCCCAGTCCAGTGCTCTGGACGCTCGCAGATGCAGCATTACCATCGCTGTTTATAACAGCCCCCCTGCCCACACTGCTACCAGTGGCTCCGTCCATAATTAACTCAATACATAGTACAATTTGGAAAAAACCGTGCAGTGCCCATGGCCTTACAGCACCCGGGGCACAGAGCCAGCAGAAACGCTCACGCGGGCTGCAGGGCAGCGTGCCTGGGCGGATAACTCCAACGCGGTGTCAGAGAGAAGGGAAACGGGGACTAGGGATGCTCGGTGGTGGTGACAAGAGCTGGGGAACCCGAGGTTACATCCAGCCCTCTCCAGCAGCCACCCCGCACCCCTGCGGCTCGCACTGAGCTATCGGCTGAGCACGAGGGCGGCAGGACAGGCTCTGCTTCTTTTCAATCTCAGAGGTATCGGTCTGCATTCAGTGTTTACTTGCTGCTTTAAACCTGGCTGTCGTGCCACCCTGGGCAGGTTGTTGAGCTCTGCAACTGCCAGGAGTTTCATGTGCTTTTGAGCTGCCCTCATCGCTGTAGTATCTGGATGGACTCCGGAGCACATTAAGTGTCTCCTCCGGCATCTGCCAAGCAGCCACTTAGCACCGGCTCCTCTCCTTTCCCAGCTGCAGATAGTCCCTGGCTAGGGCAAAACTTCTGTCGTGAAACCCAAAACCTGAGTAGAATTCATCCAAGTTTCATCTTGCGTTAGTGACAAATGCAGGCCAGTTTGATCACTTCTGCAGACCTCAGCTCTTCAGTGGAAACTGTATGAAAAGGAATGGCCTTCACCCAAAAGTCAAATGGGTTTCCACTGAGTTTTGGAGTTGGAACAACCCCAGGGAACTGGGAACCTGCCGAAGTGAAATCGAATCCCAGCTCCCAGCACCTGCCCCAGCCCAGCTGTACACACCGGAAGGCTGGTATGGTGCAAAACCACCAGCAGCATCAGGCTCATCTGCCACTGAGAACCCTGGGGGGAAAAAGGCATTTTCCATGGCAGAAGTGTCACAACAGGTTATCTCCACCTGCTGCCAGGGGGCCCTCTTGGCCCTGGGTCCCACAACACCCTGCTGTCTGGATGCAAAAACCAGCCAAAAAGCCCTCTGCACCTCCCTAACAGCCCCATTTCACAGACACAGGAACCCTGACTGAGGCTCACCCTGCCAAGCCCAGCACACAGCACTCCAGCACTGCCCCTTCCTTCCCCTCCATGCACATACAACTGGCACACATTAAATACACTATTAACCCTCATTTAGAGTTCCTCTTTTTGACAGGAGGAGATTTCTTTTCTCATCTGGTACAAACCCACATCCCATGGCCTGGCCTGGGCTTGGTACCAGCATCACCCAGAGCAGAACTTTGATTTCCTTCAGCACAGGGAACACAAGCACAGCCCACCCCACACCAGTGGCAGGACAGAGCAGAAGGAAAGACTGGGCATTTTGCACAGGTTGTTTTAGACCTCCCTCCTCTTCAGACCAGCACCAAGCTCACTTACCATTTCTTCCCCCCAATGTCATGCTGCTGCACTGTGTAGCCAAAATATGCCTCCTTAGAGCCAGCTATGATTTTGGGCCTCTTGGTGTCAATATTGAAGGCATCACTGAACCCTGGGGAGAGAAAAAAAAGGGGACTCCATCAGTCAAGGTGCCACACCAGCAGGAGCACACCGCAGGGAAGAGAGCAGAGGAGACCCAGGTAAAGAGCAAGGCACTTGCACAAGCCCAGCTGCACCTCCACAGCCAGCCCAGGAGAAGAGGAGCCCAAGCCTCATCTCACCTGCAGCACCCAACACCACCCCAAAGAGCACCCCCAGGGAGCCGCTGGTTTTAAGCTGGGTCATTTCAGGTTTAGAGGCCACAGCTGCACAGGCACCGGGGAGGACTCTTCCTCCTTCCCCAGCCCACCTGTGGCCTGCAAGGAGGTTTCATCCTTCAGGTGCTGACGTGCTCCTAGGGAGCGCTGCGGTGGCGCCAGCCGTCTCTACCAAAGCAAAAACACGCTTCTGTTTTATGAAAAAAAATACTTTATTTCCTCTAGGCCATTGCAATGGCCATTGCCAACGGAGGCAGCTGCTGCTGGGCCTCTACGGTTGCTCCGGGGGCGAGGGAGCCCTCCCCGCACCGATCCCCCGGCCGGGCCACGTGGGACCCGCGGGACCACGGTGATGTCCTGAGCCAGCATCTGTGCGAGCGGTGCAGCCCTTGCAAGGGGACAGGGAAAGTCCCAGGCAGGACCGTGCTGTCTCCCGCAGCCCGGGGGCACCCACGCCAGCACCCCACGGGTCGCCTGCGGCACCCTCCTCGCCGACCTCCTGCAAACCACAAACGCTGCGCCGGCAGCAGGAACTCAGCAGCTTCCACCGAAATTTCCACCGACCACCCCAGAAAGTCACGGCCGAAGCGCGGGCGGCCCCGCGTGAATGGCATCCTGTGGTGGTGGAAGTTAATGAGAACAGTCAGTTCTCTGTGCGCTATAGGGTTTTCTTTAGGGACGCGTCTTGTCGCTGCATCCCGGAACGTGAACGGCGGGGAAGAGGCTGCCAGTGGGACGCGGAGATTTCGCGCTGCTCCTTGCAGGCGCAGAGCCGCTACGAAGGAGCCCTGCAGCGCTGCCGCCATCCAGCGCAGGAATTTTAACGGCCCCAAACGAGCGGGTGACGCCGGGTTTTACCTGCGCCGTGCTGCAGCGCCCGTGCCCTCGGTCCCCGTCAGCAGCAGGCGTAGGCAATTCTGGCCGTCTCCCCCACATAAAGAGACTTTTTTGTAACTTTGAAAGCCAGGGGCCTGGGCTAAGCGCTATCTTTTTGCAGCTCTCCGTGTGGTTTTCTGGGCGAAGGCGCAGGCAGACGCGTACGCGCGCTGAACGTGGGGCGAGGAGGGCAGCGTTGCTTGGAAAAGCGGCAGGAGAAACACCAGCCAGGAGGAGCTGCTCGTGCCGGCTTTGCCCGCTCTGCCTGCAGCCTTCCCCTGGGAGCCCCAGGGAAGCAAGGCTAAAGCAAGAGCCCCGGGCTGCGGCATCACGGCTGATTTGGCCCAGAGGAGCCCAACGCCCACAGCAGCAGCACGCCTGGCTGGATGCACCTGCAGGAGCAATTCTTATGCCATGGAGCAAATCTCGGTGGTCTATGGGGGATAAAGCTGGCCATTTCTCTCTCTTTCCTTGCTTTCCTTATCTGAGCTCCTCTGGCTGCAAGGATCTAGGCTGGTGCCAGGCTGTCCCCCCGGGAGTTTTGGTGTTTCCCAGCTCCCTGAAGACCTGTTGGAAAGCGATGCTGAGCATGAGCCTGGCAGCCAGCCCCTCATTGAACTCACTCGCCGGTCGTGCTCCTAATGCTCCCACCGTAGACGTGTCTGGGGAGCTACACCAAGGTTATTTTCCCAGCTTCTCCGATGGAAAAGCTGCCAGGGCTGGGAGACCACCCTACGGAAAGAGGGTTTACGCACGCCGTGGGGCTCAGATGCAGATACTGGCCTGGAATATCCCGGTGCATGCCCTTATGCACCCGCCGGCTTAGCATCGCGTCCAAACCCTCCGCGCACGTACGTACGGCACCCCTTCCTTCTTTACAAGATAATTTTCCCCTCGGGTCTCCTGAAGTTCAGATGTGCGCGGTCCAAGTCCCAGGCAAGCAGGGAATGCGCAGGAGACTCTGAGGAATAAGGGGAAGTAGATGCGATAGCCGGGATGTCCCTGCTTTTTGTTTGCCCGCGGGCAGCGAGTAGCTGCTGGATTTCTCATTCTGTTATAAATAGAAGGTTTTGGCACCGTCAGGAAAGGCGGCTGGAAGAGCAAAAGAACGCTCTGAGGGATCGCGTTTGGTATTTATAAGGGATTGTCACCAGGAGAAGCGGGGAATGTCGCTTCCCAGGCAAAAAATTCAAGACGGAAAGTTGTTTTTATAGGCAGGAATGTTGGGAATAGATGTGATTTTTTGCCGTCACAGTAACAAACCTGCAATGCTGGCTTCCTAAGCCGAGAAACTCAGCGTCTCGCCAAGGCGGGCTGAGGTACCGACCTGTAACATCCTGCAAAGAGACATTCTAGAAAGCAGGAAAAAAAAAAGGAGACGCGGGGGATCAGATCCAGCATATTTTGCAGTAGATTGACCTTATTTAACATTAAAAGGCATATTAAAACGGCTTCAACTTAACGATTACCCAATAGGGAAATTAAGGTCTTGTTACCAAGACTGGTCATCAAAGGACATCACAAAGAAAGGGGATGAGCGGGGAAAGGCCACGGAGCTGGGACGCCGCGGGGCGGTGACACATCCAGCTGCCACTTGCTACCGTGCCGCTCCACCGTCTTCCACGAAAAGCTGAATTACTCCCGGTTTGCAGGGGAATGAGCCGAAGAGCAGGGGGCTCCTGCCCACGGATGCAGGCGGCGGGAACCCCAAAGCTGCCCAAGGCATTTCTGGGGGGAACCGAGCGGGCAGGCCCCTGCTCGAGGATCCGCCTGCAGGGGGGTGTTTTGGGAGGCAGCGCTTACCGCGATGGAAGGGGAACCCGCAGGCTGCAGCCCCCTCCCGGCTTATTCCCACCTCCCGTCCGAAACCCGCTCAAGAGCGTTGTCTTTGATTTTTAACGTGTTCTGCAAAAACACCGTTTATTTTCTTTGCTAAATGGCTTCAGTGTTTTCCACGAGTTCTAAGTCACGTAAAATTGCAAGCTTCATCTCGAGGAAAAAATATTCGCAGCACCGCCGGGCAAGCTGCGGTCTCAGGTCACGCCGAGGGAGCGCCCCGGCTTTCCAAGGGTGCGGAGCCAGGGTCAGAGAGGCTACACGGACTTTGCCTCTGGGTTCGTGGCGCTTGCGCTCAGCAGCGTGTCTCTGCTTTCACCTTTTCCCGGGCTCCCGGGAAAGCCCCCCGGCACGCGCTCCGGCTTGGCTGCCCCCCCTCCCAAAACGAAAAGGCACCGGTGGGGA